ATGATGTTGTAGATAGCATCTTTGAAGTGCTTGATTTTAGGGCCACATTCATCTAAATGGGCACTGAGAGCGTTGTTAGCGTGGTTTGCGCTGTCTTCAAATTGCTGGTTCTCTTCCTGAAGACATTAAATTTGACCCATAGACCCAAACTATGGACTCAGCAAGCAAAGTCATAGTGCTTTTGCATCAGTGCAAATTTCTTACCGCAACAATTTCTAGCTCCTTCTTCAATTTCTCATATTCAGCATTTCGAACCTCGAGCTGTACTGCGATATCTTCGATAGCAGAGATCATCTAAATAATTACTGATGGTCACCCTTGATAAAAACCAAATTTAAAAATCCGCACCTCCTTGGTCTCGTTCTGCTTATCATCGCTCTCCTTCTGGATACGGACAAGCTCTTCACGCAACGTCTCCTCATTTTCGCGCATCGCTTGAATCGATTCATCTTGCAACAGCACCTAAAAACCAGCGGAACACGTTTTTTTATTTGGAGATGGCACAGTGTAAAGTAAGTATGAGCGGCGAGTGCGAAACTTACTACATACCTACAGAAAAAAGTTCAAGGAAATATCAATCAGTCGAAAAGTGGAATTAATGTAGAGAAGTATTGCCCAGTTTCAAGATGAATTATAGAACTAAAGGCTTGACTTCCTACGGCAAAGTTTTTCATCATAACATTCCAGAAACCTCGACAACAAGAGTACTCAATCCCAGCAAAAATCAGTCGTAAAATTCAATCTTCCGGAGATTATGCTCACTTTGGTTGGAACTTTGGTTCATTCACAAAGACATAATCGGGAGCTTTTTCTTTGAATGGCTGCACATTGTAAATAAGTATTTTGTAAAGCGCTATCATATTTGGAGGTCTAAATCATCTATGAACATATAATATCTAGTTATGACAGTTCTGCTCAAAAATTATTAAAGAAACGCCGATGTTGGGCAAAAATGCCTTAATAACTATGAAAAGGCAAGTAAGTGCTTCTCTAAACCAAGATCATTTCTGTAAAAATGCATTTGCTGAAAGACAGAATTGTCAGATGAAAGGTAAAGGTTAACAACCTAAAAAGAACACACCTGTGCTTTCAGTTTCTCGTGCTCTTGACTGACGCGTTGGATCTCATCATCCTTCTCGTCGAGTTGCTGATACAACTTCACCCGCTCTTCCTCATACCTTCATTAAACAGCTCATTAGCACTTATCCTCATTAATTTTATAACATACTTCTTCTTCTCCTCATCTGTGATTGGACCAGTTACTGAAGTAAGCATCGGTGGTGCTGGTGCAATCATGGATCTTTCCATTGATGGAGTTGTAGAATCTGTAGGAGCTGAAAATCAACTACTCCCCCAAAAAGTGCCCTCCAGCTAGGAGATCTCTACTCACTCTCCGACACCCCAATAAGATGAGCGGTGTCGTTCAGATTGATCCAATCAGCCTCACTGACGCGTTCGCCTGCTCGCCATCGTGTCATCTCCAGATTGAGAGCTTGTAGTACGGTGGAGAGACGAGTTACCTGAATAAAACTGTTTAAGTCAACATTCATAGAATACGCTAATATCACGATGATAACGAATATGCAAAATAGATGAAATTTGAATAACCTTATCCCTTTCTTTCTCATATCGACGTTTCCACTCCTCGGCAGTCAACTCCTCATTGATTTGGACGACATTCTTGATTGTCTTAGCTCTGAAGATAATCAACACTTTCTGCAAAAAAAAAAGAAATTTATCTTTTCTCATTACCTCTGACCAAACATGAGCGTGGATTTTGTTTCGGCTTCATTGAAGTGTGATGGAGAAGCGCAAATAATAACAGTTGTTCGTGAATTTCCTCCAAGTGATTCTTGTAGAATTCGAGTGAGTTTAGAATCTCGATAGGGTACATGAGATTTCTGCAAGCAAATTTTTCAATGAATTCTTGTTAAGAAATAGGCAAAAACT